GTTTAATGAAACAAATGTCAACTGTACTGAAGACAGGGATAAAAGCTTCCACCAATTCATCACTTCAGGCTGTTTGATGAAACATAAATGCCTTCTTGAGTCCACACACAGATCCCGTAGTGTTTGATTCGAGGAATAAAAAGAGTCTTACTCTCCAGGAAGTCGAACTGACAGGCGGGGGCGTTGAGGCTCATGAAGTTGAAGCCACGGGTGGGCCGGCAGCGGCCTCTCTTAGCCGCTGACTCCCCGGGAGTCAAACCCTGCAACATGCTGCTCTTCCCGGCCCCGTCTAGACCTAGGACCAGGACCTGACGCTTCCCACGCTCTTCTTCCTCCTGCAGGCAGAGAACAAAGACGATCACAGTCCAGAAATGTTCAGAAATGCAGACTGGAGGCAAAAATTAAAAACGCATAATTTATTCAACACTGAATGAGGTTATGTGCTCAGTTTTAAGACTAGTGAGGTTATATAATTAATAGTGTAAATGTTTTGACGTACATTATGTCCTATCAACCAAATCATAATCTGAACACAATGGAACATAAAGTTTGGGTTGTCTGAAATTCAAATTCACCATCATTCCCATAAGCCTCAGCTGTACTTTGTATTTATAGAGTGCCACAGCAATGACGTATTTTTGTAGGCCAATCCGTAAATTAGCATCATCCTGGTTCCTCTACAAAAAAACGGTGGGACCCGAGTCTATAAACGAACTACACCAAGGTTGCATTACTATATATATATATATATTACTATATACTAATAAACCCGTTGACTCCAAGGCGAGGGCACCGGACGTGCTACAATGCTATCTCAGTTCCGGGTTTTAGGACTCATTCCTGCAGCACTCTATTGCTATTTAACAAATGTTAGCGTCTTTACACATTAAAGTACGAGGGTTAACATTATAACTGCTTAACATCAGCATGTTAGCATTGTCACTGTGAGCATGTTAGCATGCTGATGTTACCATTTAGCTCGAAGAACTGACGTAGGTTACAAACTCGTCTATTCGTCCTGTTTAAATTTCATGCCTTTCCTTTTAACCTGCTCATTTTCATGCCAACCTCATAACATCCGAGAGACATTTACACAGACGATATGTTGGTGTATTCGCATATATATACAGCTATCAATGTATGCAGACGAATACTGAACACCATAACCACAGATTTCAGGACTGCCATTTGAACATGGGACATGTAAGAAAAGTGGATGATTGTACTTGGTGCTGAAACGATAAATCGATTATTTGATTAGTTGATCACCACAACAATATTGATAATATTCTAAGACATTCTCTGGTTTCTGCCTCTCAAATGTGAAGATTTACTGTTTTTCTCTGTTTCATACCATTGTAAATTGAATATACTTGTTTTGGTCAGACAAACTAATTTGAACATATCACTGTGGCCTCTGCAATGGGCAAGTTCTACCATTTCATAGATAACAACCATTATTTGCAGCCCTGATAGTATAAAACCAGATTCAGGTACTTTTCACAGATTACCAAGCACCAATTATCTATCAGCTTCATGATTAGCTCATCATTATGTATCAAACTGAATGCTGTGGACATTTGGGATTTGACCCACGGTGTGCACTTCAAAAGGCACTTCATAATGTTCAGAAAATGAGACAGCTTCCACAAACCTCTAGAGGGAGAACTCATGATATTCTACTTTAATAAAAGATGGAGCACCATCATAGCAATCCTCTTTATTACAGCATATTTAGGTCAGATTTGAGAGAACATTCAGAGAAGGAGAGTACTTGTCTTCCACTGAGCCGCCTGCATCTGTAAAAAGACAAGCAGCTGACACAGTAAAGGTTAGCAGCTGGATTCAAACCTCCATGCTCTCTTTGCACCTGAGACACCACGATCCCTCTGAGGCCCTGCGCACGTCACTCATCTCCTTTTAAAAGTCACACAAGGTTAGTCTTTATTCATGCCGTGTGCTGATGTGCGGATGCGGTTCTGTAGAGGTTAATTAGCAATTCATATGAGCCCTTTTGGAGATGCCGTTTTAGCTTTCTTATTAAAAAATATCACACTTTACTTCCCTTTGTTGAAGGAGGATCAAGGCTTCAAGAGAAGTTTAGATCATTTTCCGAAGTATACCCTCAGTCTCAGCACTAAGTAGAATCCTTGACACATAAACCTGCACCACAGCTGCCCTACCCTGCAATTGTCAGAAAGAGGTGTGATGGAGATATTTTGGTGATGAATTCAGTTTTGTTTGATATGTTTCTGGCTGTAATCCCTAACTGGTGTTGCTGGGTAAAAGTATCATCAGATAAACACAGTTGCTTTGCCGCCTGTATTTCTCGCTTATGCAGTCCGTTGGGAAACAAACCTCAAACCCTGACAGCGTCAAGCAGCTCTGTAGCTGCTGAGGCTGCAGAGCTTGTACCACTTTGTCTTCGTTTTTTCAGCACAGACTTTGTCCAAAGTGGTCAGTTCTTGAAAACTTGCTCCAGTCATTGGATTGGATCTTCGAGATTATACAGGAGATGTTTGTCCAAGGTATATGACAACAAAGCATTCAGCATTGTTGTTTTCTTTTTTAAATCTGTGACATTTCTTTGGTTAATAAATGGATCTGACATTTTTTAAATCAAGCCAGCGCATTGCCCATTTATCTCCTGTCCCCTTTGTCAGTTTAAATATTTCACTGACTTCTTCTTTTAGATTTTAAACTCAGATCTGTCGGTTTGGCCATTTTTCTTTATAAAAAGGCAGTGATACTGTATTGATTTTTTTTTTTCCACGGGGGAGAAAAAAACCCCAGGTCAACTGAAGATCTGCTGGATCTGACAGGAATTTAACGTCTTGCTTAAGGACACTTGAGCAACGCACTGGCTTTTAAACACAGAAGCATTAAAGCCAGCTCGCCAGCAGCACTAAGTAGTAGAGCTGTATTTTACAGAACAGAGAGGTGACGGAAACTATGATCCTCTAATACTGTCACATATCATCAGTCCAGCAGTTCTTCTGTGATTAAATGTTGTGATTTACCTTGTCTGTTTCGACTTCAGTTAATAAATTGCTACATTACCCTGAAGGCCTTTCATCCACCCACAGATAACCAGCTTGAGCTTGCTGCATTCAGCGGTAGGTGTTTAAGCAGCAGGAGCGATAGCGCTAACGTGGTATTAACAAGAGTAGAGAGAAGAGTCTTTTTTTTTAAGTTACAATCAAGAGTTTACTGAGTAATCAAACAGGCAATAAACGATGGATATCAATTATGTCTTTGTGTTAAGTATGGAGCCGGAGTAAGGATGTGGTTAGCTTAGCTTAGCATAGCATAGCATAAAGACTGGAGGCAGGGGGAAACACTAGCCTGTCTCTGTCCAAAGTCCAAAAATACACCCACAAACACCTCTAAAGCTCACTGATTGATTTATGCTATATCACGTTTGTTTAATCTGTGCGCTACTTTATTTCCTACTGAACAGCAGTGTATTCATCTGCCCAGCACTTCTGTGCGGCATCCCTGGCTATAGTGCAGACGCTGAGAACAGGTTTCGATCTCTTTACAGGCACGATGGTACCAATCCAAACAACCGCACCGGCAAGGCGAGACTTCAAAATACTGAACAAAGTCAGTGCACCAACTGTTGTTCGACAAGAAATAGTTCCAGCACAAAACCTCCCCTAAAGCCACAAACTGTCATTTGTCAAACAAGATACAACGTGTTATTAAGTGAGCTTTAGAGGTGTTTTTGGGTGTATTTATTGGTAGGTGGACTGACTCAGGTTGTATAATGTCTTTGTAGCTCTTGTGGAAGTCCAACAAACTGACCCTGGTGAGGTCATAGTGATGTCATCGTGGTTATCTCAGCTTGGAGCGTAAATTCATTAACAGAAACTGGGAACATGCTGGGAGTGTAAAGATTAAAAGACGTGGGCCCCAGGCAGCAAAGATCAGATGAAAGAAAGATAGATTGCATTATGGGAAGTGTAGGAGCTGTGGTTTCGGAGCTTAACCAACACCAGGGACAAAAAAAAAGTCAAGATATCCAGACCTCTTTGATTTTAGTCATTCTTATTCAAATCTGTCTTTCGCAAGTCCCCCAACTTCATGGCCAAAACAACAGCCACTTATTCTATATCTGGCTTTTGATGAGCGAAGTATCACCTCTGCTCTCTTTCCCTGAATATTAATGTTTTATTTCATAGAAGTGTATTAATCTTTTATGATGTTAGTGGAGGGGGTCTTTGTTTCAGGTGTGATAAAACCCTGACAAAAAAAGCTGCTATATGAAGAGGCAATCCAAAGACAAATATCAAAAACGTGGTTGAAGACCTTAAAGATTATACGTTTAAACTCTACTGTAACTGCTGCTGAAGTCTCGACTTGATGCCAAGCCATCTACGTTTGCGCATGCAGCTGCAGAAATAACAAAACACAAACATCTAAATGGAGCCAGACAGCGAAGATAGATCCTAATAGTTGGTCTGTGGCCTGTGGATGCCGCATGTACAGTTCACTGAGCCACTGAATGTTTTTCCTCCTGTTTCAGTGGTTGCTCTGTAAATGAGCATGTGCAGCCCTCCCACCTGATGAAACTCCCCGAGGTCAAAAACACGCTGTTTGTCAACCCCCCCTCCGCCCTCTGCTTTCCGAAGCCGAAGACGTGATTACAATACATCTTGGTAGACTCCGGGGATGAAAACATTTACGTCCCCGCTGCAGCGAGCGGCTGGCAGACACTGACAACATTATCCTCTAAAGACAGGCTGAGCCAGATAAAGCAGGCTAAGCCTATTACAGGCTGCTGCTGATTGAATGTAGGAAACAAGATTAGAGACATGCAAATAGATTTTATTAAGAGATTCCGGCTGCAGCTGTAGTGCTCCATTAAAGAATCCTTCATTAAGACCCTCAGTCACCTGGCTGCTTCTGTCTGTCTGCTTTCTGTCTGTCTGCAGGAGATTGAGACATCTTCGCCTTCTTCTTCTCCAACGCCATCTACCTGTTTGTTAGATTTTGCTTTGTCGGCCTCATCTTCATCATCGTCACCTATTTCATTTACTAAAATCTTTCTGTTCGTCACGTACCCTCCTCCTCATCAGCGGCAACGTCCAAACCATCATCTTCATCATCAGCGTCATCAATGCAATCTTCATCGTTGGCGACACTGCTACGTCATTTCTTCACATCTTCATCGCCATCTTCACATTCTTCTTCATCACCAGTCTCCTTGGCACGCTGTCTCTGTCAGTCTTCATCATCACCATCATCATCAGCGTATGATCGTCGTTTCATTTTCGCATTCTTCATCACCTCCGTCACCTTTGTCATCATCGCCTGCTGTTTAACATTATTGTCTTCATCGTCGTGATGACATCATCCTCCTCACCATTAAAGCCACTGCTGCCACATCTTTTTTTTCTTCATCACCATCATCATCTGTACCATCACCTTTACCGTCCTCATCATCAAAACCATCATCTTCATCATCAATGACATCCTCATCACTATCAACACTGCTATGTCATTCTTTTCATATGCTTTGTCATCTTCATGTTCCTCTTCTTCTCTGTCCTCCTTCATCCTTCATCACCACCATCATCTTCATCATCAGTGTCATCACTACCATCATCATCATCATCGTTATCGCCACTGCTACACCTTGAACATCTTCATATTCTTCTCCAACGCCATCGACCCTTTGTCTTTTTCTTTGTCGTCCTCATCGTCACCATCCTCCTCATCATCACGATCTTCATCTCCGCAGTCACCTTTGTCAGTGTCATCATCATCACCATTGACATTATTCTTGTGACATCACCCTCTTCATCATCAAAACCATCAACACCATCCTCATCATCGTCCAGTGTCACCTTTACCTTCATCATTCTACCTACCATATTCACCACCAACCTCTTCTTCGTCATCACCACCACCACATTCATCACCATCATCTCATCAAATCCACAATCTTCATCATCCATTTCGTATCTCAAATCTTCTTCTTTCAGATCAACTGTCATCATCATCTTTAACACTGGCATCGAAACCATCTTCATCATCACCCCCACTGCAATCATTCATGCATCATCTACATCTTCATCATCATCATTCTCACTATTTAAATCTTTTTGATCAGTGCCACCATCATCTTCATCATCATCTCCCCCATTAGCGTGTCTGTTAATCATCAAGCATCCTCCTCCTCCTCTTCTTCATCAGCATCATTCTCGCCATTCACATCTTTTGCATATTAACTCCATCACAACCACTGTCATGCATTCACCAAGCATCCTACCCATCCCATCTTCATCCTCCTCCTCCTCCTCATCACCTCAGTTATATTCATCATAATTCTGCAGTGATTTCTTCATCCAGTTTGTCACATGTAATAAATATGTCACATGTAATATCAGTCTCTTCCCGTCCAAGTTAGATAGTTATGTCAGAAAATAAAACAAGGTGTATTTATTGATGTAAAACAATTATTAACCCTCTCTCGCTCACCTCTTTGATCGTGCAGTACTCTGCCTGTGGTGACCATATTCGCCTCTTGTAGAAGAAGTTCAAGGCGATGAAGAGAGCGGAGCCCAGGGCAGCCACGGCGGCGGTCAGGGCGATGGAGATGTGCCGGAGGAGAACCATATGTGGAGGGCACCGATCGGCGACTGGAACCGGAGAACCTGGAGCGGGTTTCACTGCTTCCTACACTCCGACAGTGTTCAGACCAAGTGCGGCTTCCTTCTCCTTCCTCCTGCTCTGCTGCCGCTGCTCGCTCTACATGTGACCGAGCTCGCTCCGCTTGTTTTTGTTTCGAGACTCGCAAGAGGGGAAATGCTGCGTTCAGGTGCTGCTTGTAAAGTCCGCCGCTCATCCGGAAAGGCTGCTTCGAGCATGATCAGATGCGTGTGTCAGTGTTGGGGGGAGGTATTCAGATCTTTTGCTTAAGTAGAAGTACGAATACCACTCTGTGAAAGTACTCTATTACAAGTAAAAACCCCTAACTTACTTACTTATATATGTAGGTATTATCAGCAACATTTATTTACAGTATAGCCTTTCAAATCACTCAGTAAAATGGCCCCTCTCAGTGTTTAATTATTATATATGATGTTTTTGGATTAATATTACAGCTGCATTAATGTGTATGTTGCATTTTACATCTGCAGAGCTAATTTAAGATACTTTATATACTGTTAACTGATATTTGTCACTGTGAGAGCAACGTATTTCTAAAAAAGTCAACTTTTCCTGTGCTCAGAAAAACAGCCCAGGTTTCAGCTTTGTGACAATGCACTTTCCAGCTAATCCAAGAGGACTTAAAATAGTTTATTCAGCTTAAGAAGTAGAATATTTTTTCCAACCCATAAAGGAACACTTCATTCTTCAGTTTATCAGAAAAAATCTAAATCAACAAATGTTTTTCATTGGAAAGGAAGGCCATGGAAAAAATGGAATCTGAAAAGTAACTAAAGCTGTCAGAGAAATTTAGTGGTGTATGAATAAAGTGCATCAGTAAATATGTATAAAGTGGATACAGTCAGAGAGTCCAAAGGAGTTCAATGTTGAAGTGCTGTATTATAAGCCAAGAATGTCCCATGGGAAGAGCTGCATTTTTGACCAGGGTTTTCCTCCTCCGAAGTTCAGTGATTATTTGTTTAGTTACAGTCTTACTGTCTATAATATTCTGCCATGATCATGGCAGATCTTGTTTTCCACAGTTTAAAACAAACGATGCTTATTATGAGTTGTAATAGTTCAATGTGGTCAGATGGTACCAGGGCTTCTCATGAGTCCAAATTGCCCCAGCAGAAGCCCACCCATCCAGCTATGAAGTTATGGACTAGCCACCAACTTAACTCTGTAAACTCGTCTTATTGTTCCTTTAAAAATCCCTAAATCTGATATTTTATCATAAATGAACTGTTTATATTAGCTGTAAAAAAAAAAATCACCCTTCAGTAATGTTTAAATGTTGTCTCAAAGCCATTTACATTGTGATTCTGCCGGAACACATTCAATTATTCAGTTTCTTGCCTATAAATAATCAGATTTTAAGATATTTAGTTTGAAATAATACAATGATCATGTTATGTAATAGTAATGTAAGAGCCAAAATATCCTGAAAATATTACCAAAGACGTGACCTTGGGTCCTTAACCTGCGGCTGGCCACATCCCAGAGAGGAAGGGGAAATACCAGCTGGGACATCCCTGAAAGGTGACTGTCTGAATCCTGAGATGGTTCAGTTGTAGCTATATGTTTCAGTTTTACAGGGAAGGAAGCAGATACATAGAGGACAGCGTTACATTCACGTTAGGCGCATGGTGTAATCTGATTCAGTAAGTAAACAAAAATATGCAAACCTTTGGCTAATTTTCAACATAACAGTACTCTGAAACGTCGGTAAATAAAAAAAACCCATCATAGTTAGGGGTTAATTGTGAATTTTGTGGGCTCATTCGAGCCTGAAGAACAAATCTTTGATATTTCCGATATGAGTTGAAGGCACCAGGAGCGCCCCGCCCGCCGCCGGTTCGCCGGTGAGTAGAGGGATGTCAGCGGCACATCAACAGATGAAATGTAATATCTATATTTGAAACACATGAGCTGGATCCCCTTCATCAACTCGCAGGATAAACAGCGTTGAACCGCCGAGCTGTCAGATCACAGTGAGGATTGAGTCCATCCATCAGGAGGAGAGAGTGAAGAGAAGTGCTCCATCTGCAGTCCAGTCCTTTTTATATATTTCTGTTCTGTATTATAGTTTAGACAGCTTAAGATACACAGGGAAGGGAGAGAGAGAGAGATGGTGAAACGGCAGCTGAGGCACAGGTGGGAATCGAGAGCATGGGCGGTGAGCAAGACTCTCAATGCGGTACAGCTCTACCAGATGAGCTACCAGAGAACCTGATCACCTGTGGTTTCTGACTCAGGCCATTGAAGCTGCACAGAGAGAGCACATTCACAGGGTACCAATACTCAAGTAAAAAGGTACATTTAGTAGTAAGACTGTGCAACTTTATTTCCTGGTAGTTATATCCAAATAACTATGCACCATATTTTAATTTTTAAGTTAAAATTTGATTGATTTTTGTCTGTAAAATCTTAATATACAGAATAATTGTGTGAAATAAATGTAGTAAAAGCACAATATTTCCTTCTGAGATATCTAGTTGGGTAGAAGTCTACAGCATAGACTCAAGTAACCTAAAAATACTTGAGTAAATGTAGACTAGATAGATAGATAGATAGATAGATAGATAGATAGACTTTATTAATCCCCGAAGCGAAATTGGGTCGTCATAGCAGCCA